CCACACACACACACACACACACACACACACACACACACACACACACACACGATCTTCACACTCGGTACTCCTTATTTTTTTGTATTAAGTGTTCTAAGAAATATAATTTCTTTCAATGTCAATGCCAATTAACAAAACTGTAATTCGAAAAATTAACAAAACTGTAATTCGAAAAATATCTGAAAAAATTTACTTTAAGATATAAGCTTATTTGTCTAATTATATTTAAAAAAAATCTGTAAATTGTATTTACAACGAGTATATATTTTAAGAAAATATTTTATTTAAAAAAATTAATATTTTTATTTTTAATCTTTGATTTTTTTATATTTATAGTTATAGTTATATTTATAGTTTTAAATAATTGTATTAAAAATTTAATTGGATTTTACAAAAAATACATAATGCTTTACATAATTATTATGCTCTGATATCAAATTTTAATTTTAATTTAAGGATTTCATAACTTATTAATACAAGTTGAAGCGAAATAATAGATATAAATAATAGATATGTATAATTAATAGAAATAATAGATGTTAATCACGCGAATGTAAAGTTTAAATTATTTGATATTGCCATGTACTTACATGACCCTAGCACAAATCTTTCGACATACCTTATTAAGAAATGTATTCACTCAATCTGTTTTATCACCGTTTACTTATCGTGAAGTAATCTAACTAGCGAATACTAACGGTCGAATCATTCGTTCGAACATTTTACCCCCACCATTTTGTTTTATAATTCTCTAAAAAAATGAAAAAAGATTCTGTAAAGAAGCATGCTATTTAAATCTCTTTCTTTTATGGCTACGTTTTTTTGTTACTTATTGAAAAAACTAACAAAAGAGAGATTTTTCGTAATGCAAAATCTGATAAAGAAATAAAACTTTTATGATAGGGGATTTAAGGCTGTAGTACATGAGAAATGTGAGCAATAAGCGAATTGGTTAATCACATTTGAAAATTCTTAAGAACATAAGTACAAGATAATCATGTAGGCATTAATAAAGGTACTATTTAAGATATTAATACAAAGACCAATAATGTTATAGAAGTTAACGTGACTATTAAATTTACACAATTAGATCATAATATAATTAATTTTATGATTTATTATATCTATTAATCTGATGTCTCTTGGCATACACGCGCGTGCATAACTTGAGACACTTAAAATGCATTTTTATAGTTAACATGTTTGATTATTTATAATATCAACGAAATATTATTAAAAATCGTCAACCCTGGATAAATCTCGTAACCATTAAAGGGACTTGTGGAATCTAAAAATAATCAAAAGATTTCGATATTTTCAATGAAAATTCACTAGAATAATTTACTAACAAGAAGACAGATTCAGAATTTTGTTCCGAAGGAGGATTAATGTTTATGCGATATACTAAATTTTTTTCTCATGTCGTTTAGAGCTGTTCAGATTGTGTTGCCACAAGCTATGAATATCGAATGTCAGACTCGAATGTCAAACTCACGTGCAGCTGACCCTGAGACATCAAACATGAAAATGGAAAGTCACTTTGTGACTTTGGCTGTTTTCTGATTAGGACACGCTGATGTTAGGACCCTAGCACATAAAAAAAACTTAAACAGTAATGCCTAGGCTATAATAGCCATAACATAAGGATACAAGGCTAGTAAGGCGCAATTGTAATAGCGTTTTCGATTTGCTGATTCGATTCGACATCGAGTCAAGTCGCGTTAGACTACAAGTTCGATTTGAAACTTGATATCTGCAAACATGGCGAAAGATTTTGTATCTTTATATCTTCTAATCTCTATCAAAAATTGATTTTTACAATCTTTCAGATTCTATTAAATAAATAAGAAAGTAAATAAGAATAAACAAGATCTATAACAATAAATAGATTAGGTAAGAAATTAATACTAATTGTTAGTAATATAATTATCATCAAATGTGAAAAAACACAAATATAAAAATGTTAAAGAAGATCTGATACAAATATGAAATGTTAAGAAGTATTAGAAGATCTTCGATATATAACTTCATTACATATCAGAAAATAAGATGGTAATTGGCTACCGCATTGCCGCTTTGTCGCGTCCTGTGTGTAACCAGCACACATTTCTGCATAACGTATAAGAAAATGAACCAATCATAATCCTCCATTTCTATCCTCACAATAGTAATAAAAGATTCTGATTGATTCATTTTCTTATATGTAATGCATTATGCGTTAGGGTGCTGTCACATGCGGCGTAACTTGCGCCGATCAATCACATCGTTTC